GCATATCGCCCCCGCAGTCTGGGTCCTCATTTCACCCACCTCGGAAGGATGGAAGGCTGAGTCAACCTTGAGCCGGTGAGATTTGAACCACCGAACTGCAGCTAACAGTCAGCTGAAGTGGCCTGTAGTACTGCACTCTACCCACTGCGCCACCTCAGCTCTTTTATATATATTTAGCCGACTGCTACTGCACTCTCCTATAATCTTACTACTCGTAGGGCTGACTTCCTCATATCCAGAGACATTTACACAGGTCACTTTATGCTTAGTAATTATTACTGCATTGTACGGGTAATTTAAGCTCAGATCAAAATATTACTATTTTTCACTTGTCCAATCTTCCAGATGTGTTGGGGCTGTATCTTATAAATTTCCTGCCAGCATGACCCCCATAATTGCAATCCTGATTCCTCTGGTTTGGGAAATTTAATTTACAGTGCATTATATAGATTATGGCTTTTAATTAAAATAAGTGCATTTTTTCCCACTAAGGACATTCTCCCGCCAAAGATTGCCCAATCAGATGCTTTTTTGTTATACACAGAAGATCACAGAAGGCATGGAACCGGGTAAGCCGTCTGAATGGAGATACATAAGCTGCATGACTGATTTTTGATTTCCAGAGAACTAACTATGGCTTTTAACTAGGTTCCATCTTTCTCTTCAGATGTAACTTTGGACTGTTTGGGCTATGAATGGGAACTTCATCGAATGTATTTATTTAAATCCCATGTCCTTTCACAACTTCTTGCTGAAGCTGTACAGGATAGCTACTCCCCAAACACAAGAAGTATATTGAAATCTAAAAAAGGTATTGGTAGATGTTCCAAAATTTATTTTTATATGCCTATAGAAGTGTTTAAGACACTGAGGTCTTAATATATGGCATCTTCTATTTTACTGGATTCACAATGGTTTACAGCCAGAAAATTTCATGGATACTTACTGACTCCAAGTCATAAATCTATAGTCATATTTTCCAGCTGGAATCAGAGAGTAAAATTAGAGTTGCTATTTTCCTATAGTATTTTTACATTTCACCCTCTTCTATACGAGGAATCAAGATGTTCTAAGATACAAAATCTTAGAAAAATGTTTCATTCTTTGAACTAGTATATTAATATGTAGTATTGGTATGTTGTTATATTAGCCAGAAAAATAGATTAATGAAAAATAAATGATTTAGACATTTTTCTTCAGTTACCATTGCCTTGAATATGCTGCCTTTTTATAGTGTCATATTTTCTGTGTTTACAATGTTTTGGGCAGGAACCCGTTGTTATAAATGCTGCCTACTACTTGGTCATAAGCATGATGAAGTCTGCCAACAGAAGGAAAAATTGCCAAAAGTCAATATTGCTCTGAAGATTAGTGATGAAGATGTCACCCGTTTTGGTAATGCAAACTATCTTACTCTATAAATTGACGGTTTGCCATTAAGAGCCGAGGTGGCACAGTGGTTAAATGCAGCACTGCAGGGCACTTCAGCTGACTGCAGTTCTGCAGTTC